CTAATTGACCTCTGTGCCACTGATCACAACCCTGAGCTCTGCCATTCAGCCAGTTCCCAATCCACCTCAGCTGCAGCAGTGGAATGCATCTTCAGCTGCATTTTGTGCAAACCATCACAACCAGTAACAAATCAACCCAGCACACCAATGCCAGCAGCTGCCTGCTAGGGTTTAGTTAGGAGCTCTCAGCAGCTTCCAGGATGAAGCGTAAAGTTACTGACATAATTATCACTGGCCAGGCCAGCAGTTCTAGTGTTTCTTTCCTATTCACATACCTGCATGAAATACTATTTCCCCAGCCCTCCATTAAAATAACTTATTTCATACTTAAACAAAATTTGATTTTACTGGAAATTATAAATACAGCTTAATAAAATAAGTCACACAAATGCAAGAGCAAGAGGCTCAGCCAGACTACAGTCAGTCAAAGCTGACATGCTCCAGGTCCATTCAAAACATCATTTTCCTTTATTGTCTTCTCACTATTTTCACACATATTAATGACCTCCCAACACCAGTATAAAGAACATCAAGATGCTCATGTGGGATGAATACTGAGCAGCTGATGTGCTGTACTTGCACATTGCCTACTTCATCTCAAGGTGGGCTACTCTCCCACCAACTCCTTGAGTGCACTTCTTGCCAACAGACTTATTATTATTTGTCTTCTGTCAACTATAAGCTTGCAACTTCAACACAAAAGCATCCATGAAACAGCTGAAATAATGAAAACTGAGAAAACTGCAAAACCAAGTCGTTATTTCTGAGGCAGGACTGGTGTTTGTTTGTTTTGGGTATTTTGAGGAAGAAAAGTGATCAGTGAAGCAGAAAGAAGCTGGCAGTGTGGGAAACACACTGAAAGAAGCTGCAGTAGAAAAACAGAGCTGTCAGTCAGATTGAGCATTTCAACAGGACTGTATTCCATTTAATTCCTACATCAAGAGAAAAACAGCAAAACATCATCTGAAAGACAATAGCTAAACTTGCCACCAAGATTCAACAAGAAAGTAACTTAAATATAGGAAAACAGCTGATGTATTTGCATTAGGTGGGAGGATATATACTGCCTACAGACTATGTTAATCTTCAAACTGCAGCCTTGCTTAACTATATCCTTGTTTCTAGTCATAAATATTGCCATAAAACAGAGAGAAGTACCTTTAAGAGACTACATCGCAGAAAGTTTTATAGGTTACTAACATGTCACGCACACATTTGGAACAAGTATCCAAACCTCTCACAGGTCATCCCAAAACAATGAATACATCATCAATACCAAACACCATTTATTTTAATCTGCAGAAGACAGCAGTTTTGACAGTTCTAATACTAGTCATGCTTACTGAGATTATTCTGGCTTTGTTAAAGAAGCATGGGGAACTAATCAACTTGCCAAAAAGTAAAGCAAATATAATATTAATTCAATGTCGAAAGAAGTATAGATAGTTTTAAAAGCTACTGTGTTGCACTCAAATAATAAAGATGTTGTAGATATGATTAACCCCAAATTCTGTTAATACAGAATTCAGCGCACCTGAGAGCCGCTTCGTGAATCCTACCTAGCAATATTCCAAAACCACATCTGTTCCTTCTAGCAAATGAGAATACACTCTTGCACAAACAAATCTTGCTCTCATCTCCTCTAGCTTTCCCCTTTTTTTTAATTTTTGCATCATAGTATAGGTCTTGAAGGAACAAGGACAACAGTTGCTTCTTTAATTAATGTAAACCATCATGAGGAAACAGTAAGAACAGCAACTCAGAATAATCTAAGTTTGCACACCTGGGCTCTAGCAATTTCTGTATTCGTCACTGCAGACTAGCTGCTCACAGTTTGCAATCTCTCATTACACAAATGCCACTTCAGAATTAACTACCTGGAAGCCCTACAGTACACTTACACGTGGCAGCCTGAGGCACTTCAACACTTGGCTGTTAATAAACCTCAACCCACCCTTCAGCCCTTATTACTTTCAGAGTAACTTCCTTCCCACAGGCCCTTGCTTCATGGGAACCATAGCGCCCATCACACTTCCCAGTGTTAAATTCCTGACCTGTGCAATGGCACTCTGGAGGGCTCAGAAAAGTGCCTTCACCAGGCAGGGACAAGGACTGGGAAAAGCCACCCTATTGAAGTCCAGCCATATAAAAGTTCACAAAACAAATGCCACATGCATTCATGTTGTATGGACATATATACGAAATGCACACATGTTATGTATGTATGGATACAAAACTATGTGCATATATGGCATATACTTAAACTGCTATATGTAATAACCATCACATCACAGAAACCCCAACATCACAACTATTGCTTCCCATGAAATGTGTACAGCTGTATAATCAAACATAGGAACTTTACAGCACTCAGCTCTATAAAGTGACTGACATTACCCTGCAATAATTATTGCTATTGGTCATGAAGTTCTGACTAGTCTGCAATATACTAATTTATGAAAACTCAAATGCTACCCGTGAACTAATGTTAACCTTAGCTGACCATAAGAATTTCAACTGAAGGACACAAAACAGGCTGATTTTACCCTACAGAGGCAACAAGGAATACGCCCGTTTAAACTGTATCCTGTTCAAACTCAAGCAACTTACTAAAAACTGTGAGATCTCAATTTGTTCAAATCATTAGTAAAGAAATTAACTTTTCAGACAAACATCTTTAGAAATCAGTGTATTCTCCGTATTTCACAAACTACGCTTTATTTAAATCAAATTTCAAGGAGTTTAAACTAAAGCAGGAAATTAGCCCTCAGCAGCCCAGCATTCATCTTCAGCGTCTAGAGGACAAATTAAAAACAAAACCAAAGAGTCCTCCTTGCCAAGGAACATAATTATGCTGTCTCATTACTGTTTTGCTAAAATAATTTAATTAGCAGCCTTCAGATACAGGAAGGAATTTATGCTACATCAGGAAAAGAATTACTTGGGGGGGGTGAATTGTACACAGTGTTCTAGCATACCAGGAACATGGGTGTTGAATTCTTCCAGTAAAAACTATCGGGCCAAAGCTGGATTGGCATACCAGAACGAAGCTTTTTTTTTTATCCAAAGGGCGGGGGGAGGGGGGGGAATAAAAAAAAAGGCACCAGGCAGTCTAATACTTGCATACTTTCAACTGCAAGTAGGAAGACATAGCGCAGGAGCGGTGCTGAGGTGAAGTGGAGATTGTGCTTCCCCGCCCATGCACAAATTAAAGCTCCAAAACCACACCAGACCCTGTCTTTCATTATGTTCTGCTCCTGTAGGCACTGACATTTGTCATTAGGGAATCCCATAACCGAGGCTTTTATAGGTAGTTCTTTAGGCCAGTTCCTCCAGGCTACTCCATGCGACAGTGAATTTGATTCCTGCAATAAAGTTGTAGTCTAGGCTAATTCCAACATATGTTTCCTCTTTTAGATGGGAAGCCTGCTTACAGCAGGACTGCACTCACGATCTCCTGGATAACAGAGGTCTGTACAAAAAGAGTATTACCCTTTCTGAAGCTGGTTGTTTCACATGGCTGACTGCCTATAGTGCTTAACTGCTCGTCAGTATCACGCACAAGGACCCTGTGCTTTTGTAAATCCTTGTCATGAAAGCCCCTGCACCATCAAATCAGTAGAGTGCCATCCACATCCCCAGCTCAAATTTCTCATTAGTGTGCAAGTAACCAGTTACTGAACAAGAAACTGAATTACAGTTCAGCTTTAAAGTCCCTGCAATCCAGGAATAAACTGCTTTTCAACCCCTTCTTGTCTCAGATATTAACTGTCCTAATCAGTACACAGGCATTTCTACAGATCTCCAATCTATTTTAGCCATATAAAAAGAATTTTTCAGAGCCAAGTTGTACTTTAATTTCACCAGCATAATCCACCAGCGGATAAGATAAGCCAAGACTAAACAAACTGGAAGGGTTTGAAACACTAGTTAAGATTAGCTAAAAATATCACCATGATGCATAAACCCAAATAGAAACCTGCTCCATCTCCCAAGGCAGTATCAATTCTGCCATCCCAACAGGTGTAAAAAATAATTCATCTTTGTCACTAAACTCCATGAAAATGCAGAAGGGAGAGGAGAGCTGTTGACAGAGGAGGGGCCATTTGTATATAAATGATTCCACCTGGCTAATCAGATTTAAAGGTGTCAGGGTACAGAGCTATCAAAAGCCAGTCCCTTCACCAGTGATCCTAGAAATTCAATACTGCAAAGTTTGTCCCTATATTTTACGTGCAAAGTACTTCAGCCATCTGCAAAAGGCTTTGAAACTTAGCCCACACTGAAAGACAAGCCTTCCTGAAAACACAGTTTTAAAGTAGGAAACTAGTTAGACAGTGCTGGGTACAAAGATCGTATTTGTTTTGACTTATTTCCTCAAATCCTTTGAATACCAGTTCAGAGCACATACTCTATAAAACACTCATAAGAAACTGGCACGTTCACTCAGGCACATATTGCTGAACTGCTATTTACAACTGCTGTCATTTAAGTACCTTTTTATTACAAATGGTAGGATTTGTAATAACAGACACCACAAGATCCTCAGGCAGCTAAGAGTTGCTGAATAAACACGTGTAACATGAGTGATTTTTCCCCACTGCTTCCCATTTGAAATGCACAGGCTCAGCCCAGCAAAGTAAATTGCTTGTTTCCTGTCAGCCTTCAACCTCTACATCTCTATTTTCTGGGTGGGAACAGGGAAGGGAATTCGACCGTAATTTTTTTTGTTATTTGACTAAACAAATACAGATAACAAATGTAGAAAAACTGTTTCAAATGAACAAGTCCTTCCTAAGATAATTTTCTTGGAGCCTTTATACAATACAGATTTCTTTTCCCCTTTCTATCCCTCTCTCCCCGACCCCTACCATGGGGTCCTCCATGCCACAGGGCAAGTGGAGCCCCAATGTCTATAATTAATGGCTTTGTCTGAAGGTTGTGGGTTGGCCACAGCATAACAGATACCCACATGCAGGAAAAAAAGCAAATGCACTTACCCGAGAGATAGACAGAGGCACATTGAAATCCTTGCCCCCTTGAAGCCTGAAACCCCAGGGAGCTGGCCCGACCAAAGACACGCTGTAGTTGCTCATGATGTTTAGTATTCAAGGACCAAATCCAAAGGACTGATGCCTGCAGAAGAGGATAAGAGTTTTAATTTAAAGGTGATAAAAAAAAAAAAAAAAAGGCACTGTCCACAATTTTGGAAACATTCTTTCTTTGGTTGTATTCTCCTCCCCCCAAAACAGCCAAAAACCCCACACCAGGTCTGTCATGACTTGTGCTTTTATTCCCTGTATGTTGTTTCCCTCCATAGCTTAGGAAGAAACAAAACCTGGAGAACTGCTGCTGCCAAAATATTTGACAACTGCTTTTTACTAGCAAAACACCGTGTGGGGCAGGGGTGGTAAAACCATCCAGCACTAAAGCCCAGCTTAAAAAAAGTCAATATTGAGACAAGCATGAATTGATAGCATCCCTTAAACTGAAGTATGGAAGACATTAGCACTACTAGCACATTCATTTCTAACAAAATTAGTATCATATGCTGCCCTGTCATCAGCTCAAAGCTTATTTCTAAACACAACAACACCAAAAGCATCACAACTTTGCAGCTAATCAGACGAAAATAAAATCCCTGTGACGTTTTTTATTTTTATATCATAGCTTCATAGTGGCAGAACAATGTCACAGATGAGCCCGGTATTAAAACCAATTTAAAAAATGAAAGCTGTGAAGTAAAGTAAAACATCCACAGTCACAATTCAATGCTGAGGAAGCAAAACCCACACATCTCCCTCTCCACAAGTGTATCCAACAAATTACCTTTAAAAGGCAACTGAGATATTTAAGTGCTGTTCAGCGTCAAAGATAAGAGCTTCAGTTCCACCTCAGATAAGTAATGTTACAATGACATCTTAGGTAGTGGATGCCGTCTATTTTTGTATAGTTGAAGCCCGGCAGGAGCACACCAGGGCAGGCTGGTGTAAGACTACACCGGGGCACAGCCAGATTCCATACTCATATAGGGACATTTAAGGTGGACCTTCAGCCAAGCAGCAGCAGGAGGCTGCAAACCCCACGGAACTCTGAAAAGCCCGGTTTTGGCTGTTCGCACACTGCAGGGGGCCACATTACTTTCTCAGAGGCGGTGGATTTTTCCAAATGCAGCCCACCCCTGAGGAACATGAGAGCAGGGCTGCCGCACAGCCCCCATCGATGCAAAGATGTCACTCCCCAAGAAAGTCATCCACAACACACGTTTTTGGGTTCACCTCCCAAAGCAGCAGAGATCCACTGCTCACACATTTTTCTAAATCAAACAGTGAACTTTATTCACACCAACAGCCACTCAGGTAACCAGAGCAGGGCTACTGGCATTAGGCAGCACAAGATATAAATATATATGTATTAGGAAGCAGAATTTGGAGCTTGTACCAGAGGTGCCTGGGTAACTGGGCCATTCCCAACCCACCACTGCCTGCTAGCATCCAGCAAACGGGCAGCTCTGACCCCAGGCGCTGACTCAACCCACCCTTAAAACCTCGACATGCATCAATGAACAGCAGGGGATGCACACAAGATTGAGCTCTCCTGTCGCTAAAGAGGAAGAAAAGTCCCCGCCAAGTTTGAGCTAGGATTCTTAGGAGGCTTGCTCACCACTAAAGAGAGAACTAAGCTGTTTAATTGCCCTGCGCACAGAATCCTTTTAAAAAGAGGATCTGAATTAGTCACAGATTTCTTTCTGCATAAAAATACACATTCTGTTCACTCCCGCTAAAAGAAATCCACTGCAGTGACAGGTCACTGTAAATTATGAGCTGCAGAAAAGCAAGCCACATCTATTGACCAGCATATAGCGCAGTTGTTTCACACAGGTGAGCAGGCTTTAGCTGGCAATCGAAATCTAAAGCACCTGCATAGCTTTTTTTTTTTTTTAAGTTGAGCATCAACTGGTTACAGCTACAGACCCATGAAAAAGAACGGATTCTGTTAGGAATTGATACTATTCTTTTTCATTTGTAGCAACTAGAAATAGGAAGGAAGAAACTGCATGCTGAAATACCGTGCATCACACTCAGCATCACTCATCTTTCCTTTCTCATCCCTTTGATTCTGGTATATCTGCATCTCTAGCCTGACAGATACACTAGGAAGGAACGTCAAACAGAGAAAACTCGCTCCAAATTTTATTTAACAAATGTCTTATAATATGCCAAGGCAATAGCTAAAGGAAAACACCGCGAACCATGAACTTCATGTGGGGAGCACTGTGCAAACAAACCAGCTAAGGGTGAAATTGTGCAACTTTCCTTTAGACGATCAAACGCTTAGTGGACCTGCGTCTGGAAGGGGGAATTTCAAAATCCCGGCCGGAACGCCGGCCCGCACCGCCACCGCCAGGGCGCAGAGCCGCCGGCCCGCAGCACCCAGCGGGGCCCTCCTGCCCCGGGCCGGCCGTGCCAGCACAAGCCCCGTACACCCTGCTCTGCCCCCCTCCCCGCGGCGAGGAGCCCCACGGCCAGCGCAGCCTTGGGAACAGAACTCCCCGCAGGAGCGCTCAGTCTCGGCTCCAGCCGCTCCAGGGGCACCCGGCGTGCAGCCCCGCCGGTGCCACAAAGCCCGGGAGCGGGACACACCGGAGCCCTGTGTCCGAGCAGCCCTACGGGCACGGCTGGGGGCGAGGAGCCCCGCAGGTGTCCCGCAGCCCGGGCTCCCCGAAGCGCTGCCCCGGGCCGCGCCCCCGCCGCACCCCGGCACCCCGGCCGGGCGCTCCGCCACCGCGGTAAGTTGCGCGTCCTGCTTACAGAAGTTAAACGAAACGAAAACAAGCACCGAGGAGCTTTACAAACCGCGCCCAGCCTACTGACTCTTGGCCTGACTCCCCCCGGTTATTTTCTGTTCGCTTTCGGCCGCCGCGGCACTCACCCGGCGGCGCGGCTCAGCGCGGAGAGGCGAGGACAGCGCAGCGCGTCTGCGAGGCGGCGGCTCCGGCCCCCGCTCTTGTTTTCACTTCCGTCTCCCGCCGCTCCTCCCCTGGCCCGGCCCGGCCCAGCCCTGCCCGGCCGCGGCGGGACGGGGCTGCGGAGCGGGGCAGGGGCCGGAAAGGCCGCGCGGTGCGCGGGTTTGCTGTGCTCTTTGATTCGTTTTGGTTTGTTTTTAGCAGGGGAGCGCTCGCTTTCGCCCCGCTTTGCTTTACGCACACGCAGCTGCGGGCGCACCTGAGAAGCGCGAGGGCAGCGGGAAGGGGCCGCTCCCCTGTGCCCGGCCTGAGGGAAGAGCTGCGGTGCCGGGCAGGGACGGGGGCAAGCTGCGGGGGCAGCCTGAAGCGGAGCAGGACAGCCTAGGAAAAGAGGGAGTTTGGTTGATTTAATAGGGAGTAGCATGAGGAATGACAGGGATGTACCCCCCCGCCCCGAGGACATCAAAGTGCGGGAACGGCGGCGAGGCAGAAGAGCTGTTGAGGCTGACAGAAGGCTGGCACAAGAACAAACAGGTGTAGAGTAGCCATGCATAAGTTCAGCTCCGAAATTGGAAGGGATCCGCCAGAAATTAAGGTCTCTGGCACAGCCTCACTGGAGGAGTGCATCCATTAAATGAACCAGGTTCTAAGGTGATGCTTGATCAGATTGTTACAGGACTAATTCTTTAACACGAGGAGTGTCCAGCTGGGAATCTGTGGAGCGGGGCAGGCTGGCTGGGACAGCACTGCTGGGCCTGTCAGCGCCAGCCACTGCCGCTGCCTTGGGAGAGGCAGGAATAGGGTGAAGATGAAACAGTGGCACTTCGGAGTCACATCCAGCTGCACCTCACAGCTTGGGGAGACTTGAGGTTTCTGCCAAACTTCATGTGTGACAAGAAGTCCTTACAAGTAAAAATGTCTGTGAAAGAAATGTGCATCTAGTTAACAGTATCATTATCAGTACGATTCAAATGATTTCAGCACCCTCCTGAAGCATGGACTTACTGTGGAGAAAGAATGCAGAGGAAAGCTTTAAATTCTTATTTATTACCATCCAACACAACACACAGTCCTCATAATGGACAGCCCTGCCTCACCCCTCTGGCCAAGAGCACTGTCCCTTGCTTTTATTGTTATTTGCACAGCCTTGAGCCTAATTCTGGTCCTGCTCTGCCCATTGCTCCCACAGCTACACCAACCAGGAGCCCTCGGGCTGGAGCTGATGCTGGGTTAGAAGACCTGTGCCCTGGGTGCCTGGGCGTGCATGAAACCAGGGCCTTTCTAATCCTCTGAGCCCTGGCTCAGTGAACCTTAACAAGGGTATTTTAACAGTGTCCCACTGAGCTGTGTGTCTTTAAGTAGGACAAATGCACCTCAAATAGCATCTCAAAAGAAAAGCATCTAAACCTCCCACTACTGCAGCCAAACCACTGTTTCAGAAATTTTCCTTCCTTAGTCTGCTCTTTTTCTATTAAGTCTCTCCAGTCGGGCAAAACTAAAAATCCCTGTTACGCAAACAGACTCTCACATGATTTTAATTCATGGAGGTAAAAATTACCCAACACAGGGATTTTTCATTGTGTCACAAGGGCTGTAGGTCACTCTCAAGCTGTTCTATTAATTAGAGTAGAAAAAGCTGCAGGACCCCGCGCCCCGGTGTGACTCACATGATACCTCCAGTGTCAGCGTGTCCCTGTGCTGACTGCCTGGGCAGCACTCTGCTCTCAGCTCACCAGGGCACACAGCCTGTGGTCCTGCTTGATTTTGCACTTTGCCATGTTACTGAAAAACATCCTTTTCCACTTCAGTTCTCTCAAAGCCTTCAGCTTTTCCTGTTGGAGAAGTAGCTTGCACATGCAGCACTTCAAGACACTATTACATTAATTCATCATGACCGAAGAAGAACGTGCAGAGAGACTTTTGCTGGTTGGTGTTGCAGCAGGTTTCAGCCCCAGCAAGCCTGCATGCAATCTGCTCCATACCCACCCATTGCAGCAAGGCCAGTGCCACTCCCAGCTCAAAGCTGGCAATCTCATCTTTAAGTCCGTCATCACTTCGCTGTGGCATGATCAGTTTGTAATAAATGAATCTGTTTTCCTTTGCCTCCAGACACAGGGCACAGAAATAGAGGCAACTCATTAGCTCGAGATCGTTCCATTCTTGGTCACTTTTCAAATATTGTCCTCTTTGAGAGAAAGCTTTTCATTAAGATGAATAGCTAAATTAGAGATAGTAAGTTGAGCAAGAAACCTCGGCAGCAGCTAGAACTGTGGCCTGCCTGTTCTTCCTACCACTACCAGATTTTAGACAGAGCTTGCATTTTCCCCTCAGAACAAGGAAGGAAAGCGTCTGGAAATTAATTAAATGCAGTAGTCAGCTAGCCAGGCAGATACAGCCTATCTCAGAATTACTCAGGCATTTAAGTCTCATTTAAATGCTAATGAAATGCCTTAGGTGCCAGGTAATGGGCCCTACAAAACTGACAGAGAATATCACCTGCGGTGATGAAGTACAAAAAGCTATTTGTAAATTAAAAAGTAGGCCATAAATTATGAACTGATGAACAATGCACAGTCGAATTGTTTTTAATTAAACACCACTTCATGTAACATTACCTTTCTCTGTGCTAAAGCATTGAACTACAAGCTGTGCTTTTACTGCACTGCTTTCACTTTTGCTTTTCTTCCAAAGGTAAAGCTAGTGTAAATATTTACATTCAGCTTATAACTCGTGTTCACCAACATAAAGTAATCCTCTCTCTAAAGAGGTAAATGTGAATATCCTCTACAGCATAACAGCTTATTTCCAGTTCCAAGATAGCTCTGTGGCCAAAAAATACAATTAATTAGATAATTTCTATGTGTTTTTGAAAAGCAGGGGCTGCAGTCAGCTTTTGACAGGGCAAGCTCTTACATTTTGGTCACAGTGAAGCCCAAATCACCTAGAACTGGTATTGCAGAAGAACTTTAATTTTTCTGGTTTTTTGATATTTTGTGGTTTTGTTGTTTGTTTTGTTCTGTTTTTCTTTTTCCTGTCGCTGTTTTGGAAAGATAGGCTGTGCTGAATTGCAGCCTCCCTCATGCATCCTGTCTACCACAGTCAGCCCAAAGACTTCTTCCCACGGGAGGAGCCATGTAGTTGGGCAGGGTCCCTGGCAGGAGGTTC